TGACATTCAATGTTACAGATAAACGGTTCAGCGTCTTTCAGCAATTTTGTGTGCTGCGCTTCTTTATCTAGTTCCTCTACCTCAGCAAATACTTCTTTTTGCTCTGTCCTTGATTTAATGGACAGGCAAAATTCTTCTAAAAGGTCGACTTTGCTTTGGAGCATATCTCTTGCGCTTTTTATTTGCGCTAAGCAGATGTTTAGTCGCGCTAAAGATTTGCTGTGCATGATTCAAACCGTTCGGAATCGTCATCTGGGTAGGTGACTTTTTGGCCGTATCCCTCATACTTTTTCAGTTTTTCTGAAACGGAGCGGCAATTGGCTAATTATGGCCTTTTTTAGGAATGGGAAGGACATTTTGATTTACTTCGCTTTTTGAAGAAGAATTTGTAAAATTATAAGGTTTTATTAAGAGATTATTAGTCCTACACAAGGTTAAAAGTGATTATTTCGGTTCTATAATGAAAGTGGAATTAATTAGATATTTGAAGGAAATCAAAGTAATACGAACAGTGCTAATGCTTTATCGGTACCTTCACTAGTTCGTTTCCCGGCTCGTTGCACCAGAAATGTGTAGGACTCCTTGTGTATCGATGTGGTTCGGGGGAATACAGTGGTAGAATGTTTATTGTGTAGCTTGGATTCTGGGCGTGCCTCTCAGTCTCAAACGAGGCCGCGCCTGTGGTATCATTTGAGTGACATTTATGTGCTCAAGGAGTGGTGAGGTGTTGAGATGAGTGCGTAGGTGAGATTAGGTGGGAAGGTTCTGTGGCATGCCAGAACATCGCCAAACTGAGAAAATTCAATTTCGTAGTTGAAGACCTAAACTACTCAACGACACGACACGCTAAAGACTCTGCCAAGTTCGCGACAGTTCTCTAATGGATACTTCACATATATTTCAAGTGAGTCCACCAATATGAAAGAATTTGGAACACACGGCACGCCCCGGAGTAAGCCTAGTCAGTTGGGCGCTTCAACTACAGCTCTGAAGACAAAACGATTTAAGAAAAGTTAAGAGATCTGAAAGGCCGTGTAAAAGACAAAGACGAGTCCCGCTATCGAGAAGAATGCAAGTTTAATCATCGTTTCAAATCTCTAAAAGATTATAATCCATTAATTGGAATTGCTAAATGCTTCTTAACACGCTACTTGAAAATGGAAAAGCTTTTGTTCCGATCCCTTATTTTTTGTACAACATCACATGAAAAAAGCCGCATCGTTGAAAAGAGGCCAATGTAGCGAAAGTAATACCCTTTGCGACAGGGTACCTCCGTTCCGCACTGGTTCAAGAAGCCGGGGGTCCGCATTTGGGTTGTGCTCACATAATAGGAATTGGGGTGCGTGCGAGAACGGTTTTTGAGTTAGCTAGCAATTCACGCCTCCACCAACCCCCCCCCCCTCCTGCACCTCGACCGGCGTTCGCATAGAAGAAATGCAGAGTAGCTGTGTCCGAGGTCCGAATTCAAAATGTATATGGAAACATCTATGACTGGCGATGGCGTGGTCGAGATTGAAGAAGCGGGCAGTACGGATTGAGAGACTTCCCTAAGGCTGATGGTGTGATGGGTCCAAGTCTTGAAAGCCGTCGAACGTCGACGGTTGAAAAAATCCCCATGCTTGGCGTACTCGGCAAAGGTCCTTAAACGAGCCATTTTTGATTACTGAACTAGTGAAGTTAAGTCAACAACCATTGAATAGAGCAAATCTTCTAGTTTACAAATGCGATATTTATGTGCCAGATTTCACGAACCTGAAGGAAGTTATGGCTTTGGAAATCGTGAAAATGCACATATCAAGAATTTTCCTCGCTGATCAACATAAACCTGTTTTCTTATTAATTTTATTATTTCAATAGTGGTTGGAAAGAGCTTTTCAAAAAAAACTCCCAAATCTGCTTAAGGTTGAAAATTCATCTACTTTGAAGGTTATTGAACTGTGGATTAAAATTTCAACAATCTATACTTTGTGAAGCATACTTTGTGTAGTTCCAAGACTTGGTAAGCCTCTCACAGGACATGAAGGAAGAGGAGATGCTGTCATAGTTTCATGACTAGTTCGTCGTTTTTTGCTCCATTTGTTGCCAGTTCGTTGTTGATGATTTTTCTTCGACATTTCTACGTCTGACTGAAGACCTAGTAAAGGCTGGTAGCAGGGTTTTTAACGGAAATTTTTTTGGGAGAGCTGACAAATTTTTCATATCTGCTTGTGGGAGAATCGTTTCGTGAGACTCCGCCCCTTGAGAGGAGAGGCATCGTATTTCAAAATTTTCCTCGACGCCTCGTTTGACCCTGATGAGAATTTCGAACGTAAAGACTGCTCGAAAGCTTTCTTAGCTTTTAAATTGAATAATTGTGTAAAAAGTTTAGGCAGATATCTGTGCGACAAGTGTGGCGTAATACCCACCAGGGTGAATATCGGTCGAGGAAATCCTCGACAGGGGGGTCGTACCTGTTGGGCTGGTCCATGGGGGGTCGTACTCTTGGGGGTCAGTAACAGAAGTGGTATCATGGTGCAGATAGGTAATAGGGTATAGCGCAGCAGAAAATGAAAATATCTGAAAAAAACATGATATTAAATTTTCTTTGCAGGTTCAGTCGCTCCATTCCTCCACCTTCATGAGAAGGGCGTATTTGAAGGCAGTACAAAGAATGAAAGTGCATCCCCGCAAAGACTGCCACATGTGCGCACGCGCTGCAAAGGCACCTCCTCTGCCTATCGCTCGCTCCTTCTCCCTTAACCTCGCTGAGAATGACACTGTTGTTAGGGACCCTGTCGCAAAAACGACAACCGTGAAGGAAAAGCCCTGGGCAAATGAAGTTGTTCTTTAGGTTGTAGGAGTTACGAAATGCGTTTACTACAATGCAGCTTCTGTCAACTGGTCATGATCATATGACACCTTCGAATCGATTCTGCAACTTCGAGTGAGGTCGGATGCATGGCCTATACTCAGACAAAATTCGATGATGACGATTGCCCTTTTCCTATTGCTTATGTTGGGAGGATGTTTTCTAGACCCATTTCAAGCGTTGCCAACAATTACACTTGCAATGGTGAAGAAGGGAGCGGATTTTCAGGTGGCGGATCCGTCCTCGATACATACTCGACGCAGATATCTTCTCAACTAGGGAATGTAGAAGAAAGCTAAGAAGACCATCAGAAAGCGCAAACCTTCCGCTTTCCAAAACTATCTTCCCTTTTTCAGGATCTTCACGTTTTAAGAGAGATATTGCTCTTGAAGTGGCAAAAACTCGCGTGAAAATTTCAGCGTCCTCGACGTTTACTCGACGAAATTTGAGAGACCCTATCTTTCTGCATGGAACTTTCAGAGCAATTTCAATACTTCTTGGAAACGCGAAATCCAGCTCTATCTAACCCTACCTCAAACTGCTTCAAAGGTTATGAAATGGAGGAATGCAACCTTTTCATCGAGGGTTTTTTCGGAAATTTCAGCAAATCTGACCCAGTGACAATCGCGCCGCAGCTGCCGTTGAATCGGCCTTTGATACACTCGGCTGTTTCGATATACTCAAGCAGGAATCAAGATTAAATCGCAACCCCGTGCCTTCAGGATTTCTGTGCATTTCTGAACGAACCTGACTTTGAGGTCACACAAAGTTAATGCCTCTTTCCTCGAGTCGATATTTCAGTAAATACACAAAAGTGTGCAGCGATGAAAGACAGTGCATAGATGACAAGATGAGGCGTCCATAACATTATTTTGCAGGATTTTTTTTTGATTTATTTTGCAGGATTTATTTTGATTAATTAATTGAATTAATTTTAGAGGGGGTCGTGCCAGGATCTCGATTTCGGGGGGGGTCGTACTTCTGCGACCACGTACTCGACACGATTTTCACCTGCTGTAAACCTTGCTTTATTTGATCACCCCAATGAAGAACTTTCTGTAGTCTTTATGTAGCGAAATGTAGGGGGAGGAATAGCTCAAAGGAAAAATTTACGAAAAAGCAAGGGATAGAGTTGGTCAGTGGAGCAGGGATGAAAAAGAGCTCAGTGACGGCCCAGACCCCGTGTCAAGTGGAACCCCTTCTTTCTGTCCGTCTGAATTTCCGCATATAATTGCACTTCCATCTTTTGTCCTCTTCAACGCTGACGCTCTCTCTGTTATTCTAACCCTCGCCGGCTTCAAAAAGCCAGCTTCGGTTGAAGACCACCCTCACCCACAACTACGACGCCCTCACACAGAAAATAACAGAATTTTTGCCAAATGAATATGATTAATTTATTACATTCTATCGACAAGTTGAACCCTAATACACAACTCCTCATGATTACTGACAACCAGCTACTCAACTCTGAAAACCATCTAAACCAAATTTACTTGACGGCCTTTGTAGATGTGTTATTTGGTCTGCACCAACTTTCTAACCTTTTGTAAGGGATGTATCACATCGGCAATATAAACCCGCGCGAGAGAAATACATTTTGTGAATACCGCGCAACTTACCCAAGGAGTGAGCCATGTTAGATCGCCGAGGTCAAATACCTCGCTGCCAATTGCGCGCAACTCTCAGGAGGTCCGCCTGTCTCGCAACTATGCAATTTTCCCCTTCTTTGACGTTCGTTCTTATCGTGAATATTCCCCCTTCAATAAGCGTTTTGACGGATTCTTTTCCTTTTTTTTTTCTTCACTGCCGGCCCATTTCACACCAATACATTCGCATTCAAGTGCTAGAACTGTACCAATTTGATCCTGGGCATGCCTTTGAGGAGCACACATTTGAGGAGCATTTCCAAAGTACTTTTAACTTTCAAATTCCTAATTTTTGCTGATTTTCCAATTGTTACACAATTAGAAAATCGGCAAAAATTACATTACTAGTATTATCATAGAATTACAATTGTGCACGAGCTACTTATGGTAACGGCTACACCGAAAGCGATTTAAATTCCAGGCTTTTATCACAAAGAAATACCAAAAGTAGACAATGTACAAATTAGTTTATAATTCTATACAAGACCGGTTTAGTTACACCAGTGTCATTTCCTCGATGAGCGCTCCTTCCTGAAACGTGATGAGCCACCTGGCTTATGATTAGAGCGCGCTGATCGTTCCTGTCTGCGCTGAGGAGAACGTTTATCCATTCGCGAATCATTCCTTTTGAACGACTTTTTTCTTGAAGAGCGAGAATGAGACGGATCTCTTTGCCTGGACCCAGCCAGCGATTCTCTTCGACGCTTCAATGCTCTCCTCGAAGGCTGCTGCTTGCCACTTGGTTCCCATTTTTTCGTTGAAGTTGACGGAGAGGGCGATCTTCTCACTGCTTCCGACCTAGTCAATTTCGGAAATAGAGGCTGAGGACCCTGAGCGGATGATGACGGTTGCGACATACCGCCAAACTGCAAAAGAGATGAGTTCAGTGAGCCTCCCTGTGTGTGGCTCACATATTGGGGAGTAATCTGGAAAAGTGAAGGTGTAAATGTGAGCGCCCCGATTGAAGTTTGAGCCGGAGATGTGTAGGAACCACCCATGGTCAATGGTGTACCAAATGAATTCACCATAACCGGCGTCTGGGACGAAAACAGTGGTGTAGCATGCCGAAGGGACTGTTGTACGACTGCATTCTGCAGTGACGTAGCAGCGGAAAACTGGCGATAGGACGCAGCCACAGAGTTAAGCATTTGCTTAACGAGCGGACTTGCTGCGCCAAGCTTTTGTTGGGGAGTCTTAGGCTTTGACGCAAGCGGCGCTGATTTTGGATCACGTCGCAAATTCGGTGGAGGTGGCAGAAGAGGTACTGATCCGGAACCAATCAGTGGAGGCGGTCGAGGACGTGGTTCTTCGTTCAATGTATACGTTGATGGTCTCTGTTGAGCCTCTTGAAGTTTCTGAAAAAAAAAACTCATTCATAAAAAAATCAGCAAAAACATCACAGCTTTTCAGAAAAGGGTCAAATGTAATCGAATTTACAACTGAAAGGCAAGGGATTCAATTTGAAGCAGTCATCAAGTGTTGCAGCTTAAATCGCTCTTCGTATGGACGGAGCCAGTTGTGGCGTGCTCATTTCTCTTTGCTGTTTTGAAAGGAAGGGCGCTCCATCAACAAGAGCACACTGCTGCACCTGATTACCAGGCCCTGGTCACACTTTGAGACTTCTTTGTAGTTTGCTTTCGGGTCAAGTCCGCTAACTCCATTATTTCGCGAAGTTTTTCATCTCACTATTCTAATTCGAGCTTCTCTGCTAGGACCTACTTCATAGCGCTGCTTCACTTCTGCCATCACAAGTTCGCGAATTTTTACCGCGGATTGGACATAGATCAGCGAGAAATGTGCCTTCGAAGAGACCTAACCCCTGCCTTCCACAGCGTCTGCTGAATTCCTATGCCTATGTGGTTTCTTATTTGAATTGGCCCGAACAAGAGGAAGTACTAGAAATGACTCAACCCTTACAGAAAAATGACCAACCTTCATGAACGCGTTAGCGGCATTCTTGACATTATTCCTCGATATGGAAGAGAACATTTCTTTATATTCTTCAAGAGCTTTTTTGGCAGCATTCATTTGCGCTAGATGAACCGTACATGCCTCGCCAACTGCTAGACGCATATTCCTGGAAGTTTCACAACGTAAGGCATAAAATAGTTCGGAAGTTCAGAGCAATATCTCGAATTCAAACAAGAACCAGTAACTAGAACAAACCGAAAATAAACAGCGACACGATAATGACGAGCATTTGTTGAACCTTCAATACCAATGGTTCTATATTCTGGCATTTCTGGAGCAGATGAGTCACCAGTGTCCAATTCTCGCATCGCTAGGCAGCACTGCTGCAGCTGCGACTTAGAATCGTTCCATTTCTTCGATTCGATGAAGTGCTGAAAAAATAAAAATAAAAACATTGTAGCGCAACGCCCGCATAAAGCCCTAGGATGATGAAAGCACAGGATGTATAGGCGGCCCTCACAATTCAAAATATAGAACATAACGCATTCAAATATGACTACGATTATGAGTGTAAATAAAATGCGTGGCGCATCTCAAAAACAGGATTGCGTTCTGCCGGGGGCATTCTCTTTTGGGCTTTGTTTAAGACCCACAGTGGTACAATACTAAAAAAGTGCGGGAATGCGTCTTTCGAATATTAAAACGTCGCCTTATGCTAAAATAGCCGAAAACCCCATCTCAACTTCGGAAATCCATTAGGCAAAATAAATGGCAGAAAGTAACACTAATACAAACATTTCTGAAAAGACTTTAGACGATCTGTGAAGAGTACGAAAAGATCTGGGAGCCCACTCAAATGGGAAGAACTAACAACTAAAGGAACTTGAAAACGACATTGGTAAGCATTTGAGGGCGAAGCATATTTTACGATTTCTGTGAGAACGTCGTAAATATTGGTGTTGGCCAGCAAATGGCGTGCATAAGGAGAAGAGTGGTTATGATGTCACACACTACAGTCAACCAAACTTCCAGTTTTCTCTACATGATCTTCTAGAAAAATGGTATACTCGATATCCGAGAGTTGGGGTAGGCGTGTCACCGGAAGTGACGTGCACTTGATAGAAGCTATGTGGATAAGCTGCTTCCAACATACATCGCTGGATATCAGCAAAGCATGCTGGCAACAGCTTATCCACGCAACTTCTATCAAGTGCACGTCACTTCCGGTGACACGCCTACCCCAACTTTCGGATATCGGTAATGTGTATGAGTGAGGAAGTCATTCGCTGATGATAAAGGGATGTTGAAGATAACCTAACATGCGGTCTAGAAACAGAACTGCTGCTTTGATTACTGTAGAAACCTACACGTAAAACTTAGCACTTTAGCCTGAGGGACTAACAACTCTACCAACAAATATGAAAGAGAAAAGCAACTCACTTTGAGTCTAGGAAGAAAGCAGATGTAAATGAAAGCTCGACAATAGTCCCAGCCACGGTCAACAAAAATGGCTCCCAGAAGAGCTGAAATTATTAATAATTGAGACATAATCCATCAACAGGAGAAATTTGAAATGCATGCAGCTAGAAAGAATTTGCTAGACGCGAGGAATGCTGTTACATGCGCATCGACCGGCGCAGAAAGAAAATTCATTTTATCACATTAAAATGAAATTTCCAGAAAGCCGAAGCATGTGCACCCATTTGCAACAGTTACCCTGCAGTCCACCCCACGTTATAGGGAGAGGGTAAATTACGGTTAAACGTTGTGGATTCCTTCAGATTCTCACACACTAAGTTCCAACATAGCTTGTAAGAAGTCAACATGTAACACAGCGGACGCAGCTGACACCTTTAGATGATTACTTCCTATGTGGATACAGGCATAGCCAATCAGCACACAGCAGCATTCGGTTCGCTCTCAAAATTCCGCCTGTTATAATTCATTGTTGCTCTCGAACTCGAGAGCTGGGCGAACTAGAGAGCTACGGTGAAGGTTAATTGGTCTCTTTATAGATGAACTGCAACTTCTTAATGTTGCTGTGTGTGCGCTTGCACTGTTCGAAAGGTTTCATAGCTGTAGCGCTATCAACAGTTTAGAAGGAAAGGTCACTGTCTTTGAGCAGTCAACACGAAATTTACAATGTGATTAAGTTGAACGAAAAGCACAGTATTGATGAGGACTAAATCTGAATTCCCCAAAAATTTCCCCTCATTTTGTAAATAAAAACTGGGAAGAGTCTTAATTTTATGAAAAAATGTAACGAGTGAAGTTCCCCCGAATGAAAAAGCAAACAACTCACCTTCAACCAAATCAGCTTTATCTTTCAAACTGAGATCCGGCAAACGCGAGCCACCTCCAGGTGGATGTATTATGAAACAGTGGAGACCGAGATCTTCGCAAATTTGAGACTAGATAGATAATATGAATAGCAAACTGTCCATCAATTCACTGTCTATCAATCAACAGTTTAAACAATTTACAAAGCAAGGTACCTGTGTTTCATTACAGACAAGGCATGTTCGCAAAAGCGATAAATGTCCTTCGTGATGGTTGGGGAAATGATGGTAAAGATAGTTGGAAATTACAAGTTGCAGAACGGCATCTCCAAGCCACTCCAGGCGTTGGTTATTTCCACTGAAGAGTTTGAAATGAAATGAAAAACTTAAGCGATATAAAAATTGTTCAATTACCAAGTAAGTGTGTTATATGGTACGTTTCTTCGAGTGAGTGCTTTGGCTAGCAATCGAATATTTTGGAAACGGAATCCCAGGATCTCCTCCAGATCAGTTAGTTCCAACAGCTCATCGGTATCATCAATAATCATTCTATCACCATTCGGTTGCTCAACCTATAACAGTGATATGAAGTTGTTGTAGGCGAGGTACTTATCGGTGGTAGCTTATACGAATAAATTTTGTTACCTTGAGAGGATGTTCAGGAACATTAAGCCAGTGATCTTTCACTGTAGCATCATCGCCAAACATTGCATCAGCAAAAATGCTGCAACAAAATAATGGAACTAGAAGGAATTCATTGCATTTCATTACAAAGATTGCAATTCGCAATAATTCTTTGTGATGAGAGGATGTTGGCTAAAACAGGAAGGGACTCAAGGGTGGAGAGTGAAACCGAACTGTGAGAGCGATGAGACTCCTACAAGGACACTTTTTTTGATCCAAGGAGAATGGGCTACTCATCCAGCAAACAAGAAATCAACTGCAATGTGCCTTCGTGATTCCCGTGAGGAATGATCGCTACCCCTCCCAAGAGCACCCATCGCCCGTTTGTGCGGTCTGTCCCACAGAAGAGTGCCCACTGATACTGTAGGCGCTAAAAGCTAACCTGATGACGACGATAACTCGCGGCGGAATGTCCCGGAGCAAATCACACGCGGCCAGTAACCGAGAGCCACACTAGAGAACAACAGGACCCCACTGATCTGTTGGCCACCTGCAAACTGGTGTACAGCAACCCCCTCCCCCACTCCTCCTCTACGAAACACAGCGGCGCAAACTAAGATTCCAATGGTAGTCGATGAATAGTAACGAGAATTGGAAAGCTTCGTCTACGTCACTCCTTTTTCAACCCCTCCCGGTTCCCCTTAGAGCTAGCTCCTACTCTTTTCTCCCTAGGCCGGACCTGGTGTACCCATCGTTAGCCTAAGCAGAAACACAGAAACTATCTAGAAAATTTAAGCATCCATAAAAAGGAAACGTACCGATCACACTCTTCGATTCCTCCATCTAGATAAATAGCAGCCAGAACAGCCTCAAATGTATTGGCCAAGGACTTCCGAAAATCCTCCTCATCGCATAAATCGATTCCATGAGCATACATCATCCAATCGCCGAGACGCAATTTCTAAAACTCAATTTAATGTAACAAAAAGGGAAGTGTGAAAACAAACATACCTTCCCAAGTGCAGCGAGATTACGATTCTGAACGAGCGCACTACGGTAGGTCGCCAGACCACCCTCCTCTTGATGAGGAAGAATAAAGAAAAGGCGACTTGATACTATCTGAAATTAGAAACAAAATAACCTATGAAGACCAACCGACAAGTTCTTGAAGCCTTACCAGTTCTACCACAGCATCACCGAGATACTCGAGTCTTTCATTATGTGCCACTTTTGATAACCCTGCAGTATTTGATCCCGATTGTGACATAATGTGCATCAGATTACGGAATCCTACAAAGAATTTGAGAAAGAATTGGAAAGGAATACCGTGCGCTCATTGCTACCTACCCTTCTTTTTCTCGTTATTTTCCGTGAACGGAGCATATCTGCGAAACAAACAATTGGTGAGCGTAGTTTTTACATGGTCCACATTCGTTCCTAGAAAAACCACGAAACCTAGGGAAGACAACAAATTAAATCTGACAATAAATGACAACAAACACACCAAAATCGTTTTTGTAAGATGGATGTGTGAAGGCCAGCTCAATCAGACTGCGGTTCGCAAACTTGTAGTCAATGATCTTTTCGAACTCCTACAATCAGATATTTCTAATGAAAACGTGGAAGAAGATTTGAAAAGACACTTACCGAAAGGGACCAATGAAGTCGCGCATGCTTTATAGCAAGAATCATGAGAAGTACATGTGCAGTGACATCCGCGAATATTCCTGTCGCTAAGAAACCAGAACAAGGGATCACCTTAGTGGCATTAAGTGAGATAGCACTGGAAACATAAGAAGCAAAACTAAGAACATGAATCAAAGTGATAAATATATATTCTCTATGAGATAATAGATGCCTCCTTACCGCTGCTGTTTCAACTCGTTGATCCGTTTGAGGAGGCTGTTCATCTCCTCCAGATGTTCTTTCTGTGATTGTCCTGAGTTGGCGCTGGACTGAGCATGACGCAATTTGTTGAGACGACGCTGAGCTTCCGCAAGTTCGGGGTTCTTCAAATTTGCGTATGCTATTGGGCTGTAATAAAGGACCAGTATTATAATTAGAATCAATCAAAATAGTGCAGCAAGTTAAACGTACGGAGATGCTTTATGCTCAATAGCATAATATGGAAATTCTGCCGATGGTCTCCTTATGTTATCTATGCGAATAGTGGAAGGTCGCTGCAAAATGCAATGGAACAGCAGTTTACACACCAGAAATTGACCAAAAAATTATACCTTTCTCGGATTTGTCGCCAGTTGGAATTTCTTTGCTGTTAAAGCTTTCGTGATTTCAGATTCCGTGCAAGAAGCGAGCGTTTCCGCTTCTCTTTCACTAACAATTGGAACGAATGAATCACATAAATACCGAACCACCATGCTCATGGGTAGCAACCGTTGCACGCCATCTGAAGAGTAGCATGAATAAGGAGATCTTCATGAGAAGGAAGCAATGAAAACGAAACCTCGTTCGCAAATGAATCGTGGCATAACATGGTAAATTGGACAACCATCGCTAACACCGAAAGGACGTAATGACTCATCGTAGAGTTCTAATAAGTCCACGAAAAGGTACTGATGGAACATGTCAAGCTCCTCCACGGTGAAACACTGAAAGAGGAGAGCTGTTGAGTACCTTAGAAAAAACTGCTTCGTTGATGGTAATCTCACGTTTATCATTGGTGCTTTTTCGAAATGAAACTCGTATTCGTTGATCCAACGGGAAACCGGCATTAACGGAAGAACTGCTGGGAGCTCACGATGGAAGAAGACCTGAACAAAGCATGATAAAGAAAGA